GCTATATTGAAGAGACATCTGTCTACTCTCCTATGTTCTCGGCAGCACTATTCATGATAACCAAGATAAGCAAGCAGCCAAAAGTGCCTGGTGCTGAGTGAATAGGTAAGGACAGTGGAGCAGCCCTTGAGAGGAAGAGTCCTGTCACTGTGACAACATGGTTGAAAGTGAAGGGTGCTATGCTAAGTGAAACCAGTCAAACACTGAAGGAGAAATATGGCACGATCTCACTGAAACATTGAGTCTGAAAACACTCCAACTAATAGAAACAGTGTCAAAGGGCTACCAGGAATCCTGAGGGAGGGGTTGAAAAATGGGGAGACATTGGAGAAAAGGTATGAACTTTCAACTATCGACTGAATCAAGTATGGAGAGCTAAGGACATAGCACGGTGACAAGAGGTAAGACTAATCTGTTCAGTGCCTGAAATTTTCCAAGAAAGTAGATCCTAAGTATTCTTACCACACACAAAATAACAGCTAGTTCTGTGAAGTGATGGACATATTAATTAGTTTAATTATGTTGATTAGTTCACAGTATATACATGTATGAGACAGAATTGAATACCTCAAGTATAGAACAAACACTCATTTTTCTTAATCAAAGGCATTAGGCCTGCAATATCTTTTGTATGCGTGTTGCCAGATGGAAAGCGGACTGGTATAAGTAGTGAATGGTGAATGTGTATACTCAATTAAATCAATAGTCTGTAGTCTCAGGATTACATAATGAAAACAACCATATTGTGGTCTACATCAGGGGACAGTCAACTTTTTGGTAAAGAGCCTGATAGTAAATATTGTAGGATCAGTGGGTTATCTGGTCTCCATCATAATAACTCCCTCCTGCCATACTAGTGAGGAATCAGCCATATAAGATACATAAGTGTGGCTGTGTTCCAAAGTCCCAATAAAACTTTATTTGGGAGAACTGGCAAAGGGCCAGATTTGGCTTATGGACTTTAGCTTGCATATTCCTGGTCTTTATTGTCTAAGTTAGATTGCATATTGATGGGAAAACCAGACAGCAAGGTCGAAAACCAATGGCTCTCAAACTATGCCCCCTGGGCCAGCAGTATCAGCACATCTTAGTCACTTTCCTTGTTCTGGGACAAAATACCCAGCAACCACAACTTAAAGAAGAAGAGTTTTATTCTGGTTCATGTTTCAGTCCATTGTTGGCTGCTCCGTGACAGCACAACATGGCAGAGGGGCCTGGCAGAGGAAAAGCAGGAAGTAGAGAGAATCAAGGGAGGAGCCAGAGAGGGAGATACAACCTTTAGTCATGTCCCCAGGCCCCACAATCTAAAGGCAAGTCAGCTATAGAGTTCTCATAACCCCATCTATGAGCTCACGAGGCTCTCAGGGAAGATCTGATCATAAACCATAGCACAGTGGCAGCTGGAAACTTGCAAGGCACTGTAAATGATTGATTCACCCTCAAGCTACTAAATCAGAAACTTGAGGTGAGCCTCACAGTGTATTTCAATAAAGAAGCCCTTCGTGTGATTCTGGTGCACACTGTACTGAGAATCCTCACTGAGGAGAATGCAGGTCAGTGGCACCATGCCTGCCTAGAGAGAGAGAGAGAGAGAGAATGAATCCCTCTGTAGGCATAGCTTCATTGGTTCCAAGACAGAGAAATCTAAGTGTCTTAGTTACTTTTTCTCATTGCTGAGGTAAAATACCTGACACGCAAAATTAGAAGAGAAAAGGTTTATTTAGCTGACAGTTTGTAGAGATTTCAGTTCATAGTTGGCTGGCTCCAGGGCAGGGTGGCAGAGGGGTGTTGCAGAGGAGAAACAGTCCATGGTGGGCAGAAGGCAGCAAAATAGTTAAGAAGCGGCAGCAGCAGCAAGCAACAAGCAGAAAGTGATTGTAGCAGCCCTCTTTCATAGCCTTATATTTTACCCAGGCTGCCTGCCCATAAGGGTGTAGCACTCACACCCAGGGTGGAGCACTCATAATCCTAGCACCTCACCCTGAATCAATCCCAGCATCATACTCTTAATCCCCGCATCACACACCCTAGATCCACTCACCTCTGAGAAGCTCCATTTATAAATACACAAGCCTTTGAGGGTGCATCTGGATACAACCATAACTCTAAACTAACTCACTTATTTTAAAACCAGAATAATTAAGTGTAGCTAACCTAACAGGCAATCTCTGAAATCCTGGTGTCTTAACTTAGAAGTGTATGTTTTGCCTCTATCACAGTCCTTGGTTGGGTGGCCTCCATACTGTAGGATACTTGCAAATCCTGGCCACTAAGATTACTTAGTACAGGGTGAGGCTGCAGGAGGATTGGATTTTGCACAGTATTCTTAAGGGTCAAGTCCCAAAGTACCTTATAATCAGTGCTTCATTTGGGGTCTTGTTCAGATGAAGATTCTGACTCAGGAGGTATCTGCATTTCTAACCACCTCCAAGGAGAAGGTGATGTTCTTTTCAGAAGGAAGGGGCTGATCCTCTTCTACACACAACTTATTAACCTGAATCCTTCACTCAGCCCCAATTTAACTGCAAAGGGGCCAGGGGGACTTGGTCTTCCTATGTGCCCAGGAAGAGGCACTGTTCTGCCACCCAAGACCACAGTAAACAGCCTACAGAGGCAGGGCTGAAAATGTTCTCTGAAGTTACAGGGTCACCACAGAAGGCTGAGTAATGGCACCTCCAAAGAGGTCTACCATCCAATTCCCAGAACCTGCCATGCTTCTTTATGCAACTGAATAGACTTTGAAAATACGATTAAGAATCTTGAAACAGGGAGATTATTCTGGATCATTCCAGTGGGTCCAATGGTAACAGGAAGCCTGAGGAGCATAATAAAGTCATAATAGGGCAGGCCATGGATAAAAGAGGTGGGGAAGGGAAGCAGTGATGATTAAAGCAGAGGTTGGAGCCATGTTGTGGCTGGAAGGTGACCACAAGCCAAGGGATGTAGGAGGTCTCCTAGAAGCTGGACAGGCCAGGGGATGGGTTTGGCCCTAGAGCCTCAGAAGGAATGCAGCTCTGCCAGCAACTTGATTGTAGCACGGTGAGACCCATTTCTGACTGCTGAGCTTTAGAACTATACAATAATAAATCTGTGTTGCTTTAAGATGCCAAACTTGTGATGATTTATCACAGTGGCACTAAAAATACTACTACAGTCATTCTCCTCTCCTCCTTCTTCTCTTTTCCTTCACATGGCCCCAACTTAACTGCAAAGGGGCCAAGCAGCATGGTCATAGTGTTTGTCCAGGAAGAGGCATTGTTCTGCCACCTGAGACTGTGATAAACAACCTCCTCTTCTCTCTTGATGTGCTTTTATTATTACTGTGTATGATTCTGTGGCATCAATTCTAAGTCTATAACCTGATCAGTTAGCTGATCTTTTTTCTCCCAGTTTTCTCTGTAATTATTGGAACTTTCCTCTCTCTTCATTCAGATTTTCAAACAAGCTCCTGGGAACCTGACCGAACACCAGGGACTCAGATAAGTGGGCAGTGGGCAGCAGTGGGATGTGATGGGCCACAGTGTGCTCCAGGGCCACTGGGGCAGAGTGGGCACCAGCCCATCCCCAGGCTGAAGCAGCCTCATCTAAGACTCACACAGGTGTGTCCTGACAGGGACAGGGAACATGTGTGGGTGCAGGTGCAGTGTGGTGACCAAGAGCATCATGAGGAGACTGAGAAACAAGGCTGGATTTCTTCCTAGAGGAAGATGGCATCTCAGTGTTGCTTTAATCTGCATTTCTCTAATGGCCAGAGATACTGAACATATTTCATGTATGTGTTGGCCATTTATACTTCTTTTTCTGAGAAGTGTCCAGTCATTTAAGTTTCCCATCTTTTCACTGAGTCTTTTATTTGGGGGGATTTAACTTTTTTGAGTTCTTTATACTCTAGACATTTTCTGAGTTCTGTATACTCTAGACATTAATAGTCTCTCCAAGGTTTAGGCAGCAAAATTTGAAACTGAAAGTATAAATAAATTAAAGAGGAAAATCAAAGATAGAAAATAGGAAGCAGGGAGATAGAACTTCTGCAACTGGGAAGGGACTGAGAGCTGGATGGAGGGAAGGAAGGGGACTTAAACGGGTGAAGATGTGTTGCATACATGCACCAACTCCCCAGGAGGAAGGCGATCGTTGTATACTGCAAATGTGGACTAACAAAATTAAAACAGAAATGGGAAGCCGAAGGACCTTAATGGTCCAATTTCCCGACATCAAAATCATACCCAAGGCCAGTCCTGTTTCTTTCAAGGGTGCTTATGAGCTGTAGTGTAGTTTTCCCTTCTCCTGGCACATGGCTCTGCTCTGTGGAGTGAATTAGAGAAGACCCCACCTGTTTAGTCTGCAGAGCTCGGGTGCCCTGGCACCCGTCCCTGAGCATGAGTCACTGGGCGGCCCTGGTGCTCTGTTGCCTGGAGAAGGGAGAGGTGGCCCTGGCCATGGCTGTGGCATTTTGGAGAATCCAATCAGCAGTTTAGTGGGAATGCCCCAAGGCTCACCTCCAGGATCTTGGCCTTTAAAGTGAGTTTCAGTCTCAATTTCCAAGGTAAGGTAAGGGATGTGAGGCCCCAGTGGGTGGCCCAAGGAGATCTCTTTTCAGGAGCGAGGCTGTGAGGAACAAGGATCAAAGGTAGAGGTCCTCAAGGGCTCGAGAGGCAATGAGAGTCGGCAATGGCTTAGACCAAGTGCACCCATGATTTGGGACCGTGAAGAGGACATTGGGGCAAACATCACACACAAGGGGTGCTGGCCTTGAACTCAATCACTGCCTCACAACCTTCAAGGATGGAAGACAGTTTGGAGTTGCAGCATTGAAGGAACTAAGAAGCCAGCTCCCTTCTAGGCACTGGTCATATACTTCAGGAGGAAGTGTTAAAAATACAAATTGATGTTTGAAATCAAAATTCAGCTATGACAGCAAGATGGTTTTATTTCCATTGTGCACATGGACCTCCGAGATTTAAGACTTTAAAACTACAATTACCAGTGAGACTTTTAGTTTCTTCCTAGGAGCTTTACCTCCCTGCAGGTGGCTGCCAGCAGGTGAGAGTCAAACGAGATGTTGTCCCCAGGAGCCCAGCCTTCTGGCTCTCTGGCAGCTGTGGCTGGGCACACACACCCTGTACCTCACTGCGTTTACCCGTAAATGAAATGCTATCGACAGCAGGAATGAGCCCTGTTCCTAAATCTGAGTCCTACTGCTGCAAGCACAGTTGCAAAGCAGCAAGGGAGCATCTCAGTGCTAAATGGCCCATTACCTGTTTGAGATGATAACTCCAATCTTGTTCCCTGATATTATTCTACTCTTACCCAAAGCATGTCTGTGGCAGAAACTTTCCCCAGAGTTGCAGAGTCTGTATGCCGTTAGTTTCTCTTACTTGCATACTTTTGCTGCAGAGAAAAGCCTCTTTCTCCATTTCTACTGCTTTTGGATTTTCTGTAAGTCTTGCTGTCCATGGCTGTAGAGTGACACTCTGACTGCACTGGAGAAACACGGGCCCCTGGGAGAGGCTGTGGGAAGGACGCCCAGACCGCAGCTGAGGTTGAGGCCCTGAGAAATGCTCAGGACTCTGTAAACCTGGGTAGTGTGGACAGGTAGCCCCTCTCTTTCTCTCTGAAGACCACCAGGTGGGAAGCAGCAAGTCCTGAGGTCAGGGTCTTCTTTCCAGCCGTGGCATCTGAAAGAGACAGCGGAAGGTGGCGTATCGGAGGTGGGCAGGCAAAGGAGACTATTCCACTAAGACACAGTCCTGGGACATCCTTGTCCACCATGGTGTCTCTATCTGACTGCCCGTTCACCCCAACACTTGCTTTGAGGCCTTCTGAGTTGGCACCAAGACAGTGACATGGACATGGCTGTGCTGACGCCCTTCCCCAGAGGACTTGGTGTACAGCTATTGAAGTACAGCTGCTATCGGCCTTAGCTCTAGCTGTGCTCTTCTTTGGACTTGGGAGTAAGGGCCAAGCTGAACCCTGGACTCATCCCTTGGGACCACCATTGAAGCTGCTAGGCTAGCGGAGTAGGTGGAAGAAGACAGGTCCTTCAGCTTTTCCTCATATTTCCAGCCCACGGCATGTTGCCTAGCACGTAATAGAATCCCAATCAAGCTTTGCTGAGTATAAAGGAGATGAGATTATCCTAGCATCTCAACTAAGATAAAGGAACATGGAAGAAGAAGTAATGGTTCACAGGGTGGGTCAGTGACTGGATGAGGTAGGTGTGACACAGAAGGAAGGAACCTCCAGACTAGAAAAGCTACTTGGGACTCATAATTTTGAGCTTGCTCTTGTTTCAACATAGCTTCAGCCTCCATTAGTCTTCCTGGTGCCAAAGCTGGAGAGAGTACAAAGCAATGGATTCTGGTAGGTCTGATCCCAAGACCCTGTTCTACGGATCTATGCTGTCCTTGGAGCAAAATATTTTGCTAATCATTAAAATGTTTTAGGCAAAAACTGTATAGTTTTCGTAGGAGAGGAGTTGAGAGATAGATTAGCAATTGAAAATACATTCTTTTAAGATCGTGATACACAGTGCATTTGCCATTGCTATTCTCTGATTACTTTGTTATGAAATTTTATTTTTTCAAAGAAGTGTTTTTATATTTTTTATTAATATTTACTTGTATTACATTAAAATAAAAAAATAAAAAAGCAAGTGTCCTTTACAATTCTACAGGGATGTTGAAAGTACACAAGCATCTCTGAGAGGAAGGTTGAGCTTTTGTTTTAAAATGTGGTTTGCAGTCATCTCACTGCTCTCATCCATTTTTCTTCTCATTCTGAAGTCTGCATTGGCTGTAAGCTGGGAGGAATGGGTGAAGATTTAGAGATGTCCCTGCGGATCAACCCTGGCTAGGGATCTAGGGCCTCCTGAGGGTCTTCCCAGTGAAATGAAGCCATGAAGGGCTCTGGCTTCGTGCTGACAAGTCTACCTGGAGTCCTAAGTGACTTTGAAAGCTCACTCCCTTTTAGACCTATAATCAGAGAGTGGGCGGCTGGTGGCTCCTCTTCTATGCTTCCTTTTTGTCACTTTTCTGACTGTTATTTGTCTATCGTTTAGGGCTACAAATGCCCAGAGAACAGGAACTAGATCTCACTCACCACTGTTTCTCCAGCAGCTTCCCCATAGACTCAAAAAAAAAATGGATTCCTCCAAAGGCTCGCAGAATAAATGGAAAAGAACAGCCTGGGATAGTTGGGTGGGGGGTGGACTTTAGGACTTGAAGCCACTTGTGTGTTTCAGTAGCTATGTGACCACAGGTAACTCATTTCTGTCCAGTCCCTGAAACATTTCAGGCTGATGAGGAATAACCTTCTTTCGTTAAGAGTTACATAGAGAGTAACTGACAGGAGATGGATATTATTCGGTTCATAATAGGGACTTAGTATTCACTCCTTAGATCTCCTTAGATAAAAAGAGCATCTTAAGGTTTTACTTTAATCATAATCTTAAGAGTCTGGGAATGATCTTCCCTTCCAAAGAGCACATGATAGATGTGCTTCACACTGGCTGCCTTGGTGTCCTTTACCTGGTTTGTCACTTTCCATCACCAGCATGGAAGCCTTTGGTATGCAAGCCCATCTTCCCACAGTGCAAGTGCACGGACGGCTGGAACCAAACCCAGGGATAGCTGAACCAAGAGGGAAGCTTTCCAATGTGAGGCCTGAAGTCCATTTCTGCTAAGAGAGAGTAAGGATTGCTAAAGATTTACATGGATCGCACTTCTTGAAAGAACTTCTATTGAATTTTGTAAGGAAGGATCAAAATCTTCTGGCTTAAATTCTGAGTCTACTTATTCCGTAGTTATAATGCAGTGGAACCCTCTGAATCTTTTTCTCCTATAGGATACTTTAAATAAATCTCTGGGGAACCCTTTCCATTACAGAATTGGTTTTTATAATGATAATGAGACTGGCTATTCTCATAATTAAATCTAATTGCTTTATCTTTCAGAACATGGATGATCAATTGATTGAGTATATCTCATCACTATCACTCAGGTTAATATTAACTTCATATGGAGAAGATATTTGACCAGTTTCTCATTAATATCCTTAAGGATATTATATTAATATCCTAATTAATATTCTAATGTCCTTAGAATATTGTTCTCAAATAATAAATATGTTCTAGTGTCATAAGGATGATGATAAGAACAACAACATTAATTGTAGAATCCAGTTTACCAGTACTTCATTGAGATCTTAGTATATCTCAGTTGTTTCCTGAGGCTTTTATTCCCAACTTACAGATAAAGAAACTGAAATTCAGAAAAATTACCTAACTTTTCTCAACCCATATGATAATATTATGCTTCTCATTCACTTTGCATCATACTCTTACCTATTAAGTACTTCAGCTCATCCAAAGTATGGTTGATATATTAAGTCTATTACAACAAACATGATTTTTCTGTGGACTGAAAGAATCCCAGAATTAGATACAACCCCTGAGGGTCCTAATCTACTCACTAATTATTTGCAGAATGGGGTTTATTTTGTTAAACTGTTTTGGCAAGTACCTGGGACTGAGGAGAGGAGACCTGTTCTTGTTTTCCACCGGACAACTTGCAAATCTTCTTAAATCATCTCTTTATGTCTAAGTTTTATCTCTGTTAGTAACCACACTAGCCAAACTCTCTCAGAGCTTGGCCTCCCGAGTTGATGGCTGTGGAAAGGTTTCATAAGGCAAGGGATATAAGGCATTGCCAGAATGAATGTTATAACCCTCTTGCTCCATAATAAAATTCCAGTTTGGCTTTGATGGAGGCCTTGAGAGATGCAGTACCTTGCCTGTGCACACAATTACCTTAAAAATTGTACAAACATTTGTGTAAAGCCTAAGGTCTAATATAAACATCATCAATATTCAGAAACTCATGTGTCAAATGGAATGTTAGCATGTTAAGAAGATTTAAATATTAAGTAATAACTATGGCATATTAAAATATTTGGAAAATACTTATAAAGTCAAAATCCAACAAAGGCCATCTACAGCTTCAGAAACCAGAGTGCGGTAGGTCTGATCCTCCTGCTGAACCCTGAGACTGAACAGGAATGGGAGCGAGGATGGTGACATTTCCACTGACCCTGAAATAAATATCACAGGACAGAACAATATTAAATTCCAGACACAATAATCCACCTGAACAAAAATACCTGAGTCCCGAGTCCCGTCTCTCCTTGTAATGAGCAGCTCATTAGAGACGGCGCGACACCTGACAGATGTGGAAGCCACCAAGCCATCCCGAAAACGCACCCCTTCCCTGACAGGTGAGTCCGTAGCAGTGACATTTTCAAATGTCAGCTGCTGGATTCCTATTTAATTCTGTCTTGCACCAAGCATCATTAGTTCATTTATTCAAAAAGCCACTTTGGAGCACCTGCTAGGTACCAGAGCCATGGCAGGCTTCAAGGGCAGCAGTGATAGGTACCAGATAAGGTTTTCCCTAAAGAACACACACACACACACACACACACACACACACACACGGCTGGATAAAGGTGCCATTGTCCTTGAAGGGTGTGTGCTAAGCTTGTGTGGGACGACTGGGAAGCTGGTGCCTGTGTGACAGGGTGACCTGCATCCCATTCTCCTCCACCTGCCTCCTGCCTCGAGGGCCACACCGTCTCCATCTCTTTCTCAGGCTCTTTCCTGGTGCCTCTGCCACGGCTCCTCTGCCCTGCGTGTGCCCCTGGAGTGAGCTCATTCGCTTTGACACGGGAGAGGCTCCCAAATACTCGCCTCTAAGCCATGACGGGGTGAAACGCATCTTTCTTCCAATCTCAAATTCATGGACTGAAGAATTCGCCTGCATCCCCTCAGAATGTGGGTGTGTTTGAACAGGTTCTTTACGGAGGCCATTAAGTTAAAATGGGGCCACTAGGGCGGCCCTAGTCCGATATGACTGGTGTTCTTGTGAGAGGAAGAAGTTAGGGCACCCAAATAGGGAAGACCAAGTGAAGACCCGGCCACGGGGGCCCAGCAGAACCCAACCTGCTGACGCTGTGGCCCTGGGCTTCGCGTCTGCAGAGTGATGAGGTCACTTACGTGTGGTCTGAGTCCCTCAGGCTGCACGGTGCTAGGGAGGCCATGCAGACTACTGCAGCCTTCTTGAATTTATCAAATTTAGCATTCCTCAAAGGACCCTAGCATTGCCTCATCCCTAGACACGGAACATCAGGTGTTTACAGGGGGCCAAGTCCAGAGTTAGAGCCGGAGGCCAGTAGATCTTCTCTAAAACATCAGTCAGGGGGCCAGATACGAGGGCCGTGCCATCATTCACCAGCAAGAGCACTGGTGGTGGAGTTGGAAGAATCACTGGTCAGTGAAGCAACAGTAAATTGCAGAGCAAAGCACCCAGAAAAGACGGGGGCCACGTGGAATCACACCACACCCACTATACCTTTCCCAGCGTCCTGCCACGCAGACAGCATGCACCTCTGGGGCAATCACGGTGCACCAGCGTCACGCCGCTCTGTGACCTGGCTTTTTCTGCTTGTCAGTTTAGTCTTAGTATTTCTTTTCCAGTGTGAGTGCTGGAATTCCAAGACTTCTTCCCAAGCCAACATTATCTCTTGCTTAAATTCCCTGCTACAAGCACCTACCAAGGGTCCCTATTTTCCTTCTCCCTTTGCTGCGTTGTTCTTTCCAGCAGTGCACAATTTAAGCGCTGATAATTTAACTCTCCCTCTGCCTCCGTCCACTGGCTGCTCACTGCCTTTCCGATACAATCGACACTTCTGGCCAGGTCTGCTCCCCAGGCCCCTTCTTAGCCCCTCTCCCCCCCGGGCTCACTGTGCCTCCCACACTACTGCTCCTCGTTCTCAGAGCAGCCCCAGGCTGCAGGGCCTTTGCATCTTCCCGTGGCTCCTCACGGAGTACTTGGGCTGTTTCTGAGCACCTCCTTTTCATTGTTCACATGTCGGAGCAAATGCTACCTCTGTGATATCTCTCCCTGTTCATCTCATAAATAAACACAAGATTTCCTGGGCCACTCTTCGTCACTTTCCTTGGTTTTTTTCCATCAGAGAATTTAATACTCACAGGAATTGCCTTGTTGATTCCTGTCTGCCTTGACCAGAGACCGCTGGTGTTTGGTTTCTGGAAGAGCCTAGTGTACAGCTCGCTTGCTCCCTCTCTTTCTTTCTCTCTCTCTCTCTCTCTCTCTCTCTCTCTCTCTCTCTGAATGGATAAGAAAAACCCATTCTCCATGGCAGAGTTAGATTCTTTCTCACTGGAAAGTGGTTCTTAGCAAGGAGACAGACCAAGTATGTAGAAAAGAGAGTGCTATAAGGAACGGCTCCGTACCTATCCACCACCTATATATTAATGGCACTGTGCCATTTTTTACTTTCATTCAGGTCTTTCATTTGTTTTAAAGATTAAACATAGTTTTAGGTGACAGCACCCATAAATCTCTTCTGATCCTGTTTCCCTTTCCTTCTTGGGGTAACTGTTATCACAAAAGCACTCTTCAAGCCCAGGCGGGCGAGATTTTTCAGAGAAACAGAACCAACAGGAAGCAGGTAGAAAGCCTGTCCTAGTGAATCGTGTATATGGTGGGAATGGGCTCGCACACCCACTGGGGAAGCAGGCCTCGGTGGTGTAAGTCACCATGGATCTGGAGACTCGAAGGCCCAGGCAGCCCAGGGCCAGGAGCTCTGATTTCCAAGGGCAGGGCCGAGTGTCCCAGCAAAGGTGAGAGTGAGTCCATGTCCCTCCCTTCTGGGGTCTGCAGAGGACACATGGGGAGGCTGTCCTGCTCCTGCTCTGCAGTGCACACATTCACCCCTTCGGAACTGCCTCACAGACTCCCCGAGAAAATGCGTCCCTCAGCTGGGCACCCCTAGCCGGACCAGTGGGCACACGAAGCACACGACATGGGGGACAGAGCCTCCCTTGACTTTTTTCTGGTGGCCAAACATAGAAGTTCCGCTCTGTGTCCAAAGACTTTGCAACTGTGAAGCTAGGTTTCTCATGGCTGTCGGACTTCATCCCCGAATTAGATTAGCGATGAACTCTCAAGGCACAGCACAGTCCTGGGATCTTGCTGGAGAACTTTATTTTCCGGCCAGGACCCATGTACACTCCAACCAAGTCGAAGGGCAAAGGCCCCAACTGAAATGAGGACCGCATATTTAAAGGGAAAACCCACAGAAGAAGTCCCTCCTCCCACTCCCCTGGGTTAGGGATTGTTGCAGATCACCTGAAACACAGCTTCTGTTCATCAGTTAGGGGTGGGGTTTTCTCCCGGGAGACAGAGTGCAGCTGGAAGTCACATATTTGCAAAATGGAGGAGAATGTTCTCAACACGGTGCTGGTTTTGCTAAGTTGGGTCTCACAGTGGCCAAAGAGGAATCATAACATGGTCCAGAGCCCAAGAGGTGAGGGGCAAAAAGCCCCTGTGCCTTCCCGGACACCTTCCTCTGTCCTCAGAGGGCTGGCTCCTGGCGTCCAGCACCAGAGGCCCAGTCACCAGGGCCAGGGCGGGAGCGGGGCTGGAACTTGGCCCTCTTCCATCTCTGGGCCTGGGCCGGCCTTGCCCTCTGCCAGCCTTGGTGGTTCCTCATCTCTGCACAGTGGCGGTGACTTTCGCCCTCTCTTCTCGATGCAAAACAAGGCTTCTTACTTATTTGTCTGTTCTTCAGTTCATCGGTCTCCTCAGCACATGCCTGTCACACAGTGACACGTTCGGCTGGGGTCTGACACAGCCACAACTCCTCTGGGTCCCCCCTTCCTTCCTTCTTCCCCGGGCCCCTCCCTTCTCCACGGAGATGGTCTTCCTGTTTCTCCTCACTGCTCTTTTATTTTTCTCTTATGTATTTTTCTGATCTCTCATATTAGAGAAACTATGTGATAATTAGCTGAGTCTGATTTATTTCACTTTGTATCATGCTCTCGAGATGCATCCATCTTCCCACAACTGACTCAAATTTATCCTTCTTCATGGCTGAGATATACATACGTTCATAGACACATTTTCTTTATCAATTGATCTTTGGGTGGGTATTTTTAAAAAGAACTCTAACGGATGCATAAAAATGTCTGCATATTGATGGGGTACGTGCAGTATTTTAATATCTGTAGATGTCATGCGTTGCTAAATCAGGTTAAACAGGGCTATCTCCTCAGCCATCTATCTTCCTGCATGGAGTTTATTGAGCGCACTGCGTCCACTCTGTATTTTGTGTGCTTCTAGCTGGACATACCTGGTCATTTGTTCCCTACTGGGATTCGGAGTGGCTACAGAGACAAGCAGCCATCTCAGCACTTCGCTGACCTCCCTGCTTCTTCTCCCTGGTCCCTGCTGGATCTTCCGGCACAGACACACCCAGCCTCTGGTCATACATCCTGCCTGGGCTGGTGCAGCCTGGATGATGATGCCACTTTTGCCAGGTCCCGGGCTCCCCAGCCCCAAATACGAAGGTGGACGAGTGGAGTCGCCAGGAGGCTTCCAGGAGCCAAGTCCTCCGCGATCTCACCGAACCATGGAGCACCGTGTTACCCTCAACCCCGAACTTCTTGTTTTTGGAAATTAGAAGACCACATTTACTGGAGCTACTGCTTTTCTTTTTTAATACTTGCAATTAAAAGTCTTTCTATCTAAACTAAAGGCTTCGCCATTCCCCCAGAGCGTTGGTGTCCGTTTTCTGTTGCTGCTGTAATAAAATACCAAACTTGAGTTCTAGAGGCTGAACGTCCAAACTGGAGCTCACCGGGATAGACTCACGGGGCTGGGGGACCCGACCCTTTCTGGAGCCCCTGGGGAGGGACCTTTTCTTCTTTGCCTGGATCCTGAGGCCACTCATTCCTCGGGCTCCCTCTGCTTCTCTTCTGCAGCCCTTCTCCCCACTGTCTGGTCCACCACATCTGCACCTAGTGTGACTCCCTGATGCCCAGGAGGGTCTCCTCTCGCCAGATATCCACCGGCAACCCGAATTCCACTGCATCCTTACTTCTCCTTTGCCACGTCACGTGGCACATTCTTGGGCTCCAGAGGCGAGGAGGACATTGTCCTGCCGGCCACAGTGACCCCCCGGGGACTCTGCTGCGACCTCGTGTGACCTTGTGGCGTCGTG